AAAATCGTCTAAATACCGATACCGTATATTTTAATCACATTTATAATCGGTTGCGCATACTTATGGTTGCTTCCATCTAGCGCGTTTAATTATCTCAGGGATTTATGCACCAGATGTCCATGTTTTTTTAAATATTTTGGTAGTTCGCAATTTTCCGCAAATTTTCACTGAAAAGTAAACTACATTCGTTCAGCTTTTGGTATTTCGACAGCTAATTAACTCCAATAAAAACAACTCTTGAAAGCGCGAAAAACAAACCAACCAAAACCCTTTCCACGCACGTCTAGTGCGAGTTTTGATATAAAGTCAGTCTCTGATCAGGGGTCAGATCACACGTCGCGCCATCCTCGGAGACCCAGGGGCAGATAGTGGGGACGAGGGAAAGTCTAAACGGGCGGAAAAATATATAATAAATAATAATAATGTTTATTTCTTATATTGCGCAGTCTAGCATGCGATAAAGATATGATCGAATGCGCATTACAACACTAAAATCCTAAAGTAATAAATGGCTAATCCAAATAATGATAATAATAATAATAATTTACAATTTTCGGAAAACAATAAAAAGTAAAATATGAGTTAATAAAAGAACTAATAAAAAGCTAATTTAAAAAGATGTGTCTTTAGTAAAAGTTTAAAAATGTTCAATGATTGACATTGTCTAATTTGTATATGGAACGAAGAAAAGTAAAGAACGGCGAGAAGAGCCCCTGGGGACAATGTCTTACCAGACCAGTTCCAAACGGTCGCCGCCGTTTTGGCTTCTGATTGGTGCCAGAAAAACACAAGTTTTCTGGCACCAATCAGAAGCCAGAACGGCGGCGACCGTTTGGAACTGGTCTGGTAAGACAATGGGCGCGATCCATTCAACCAAAATTTCCGGAAATTTCGGTCCAAAACTCAATGGATCCGTTCGGTCCAACCGGAAAAGTTTCGAAAAAACGGGTCCACCTTTTGAGGTGGTCCACTTTTCCCGGTCGGACCGGTTGGAATTTTGGGTGAATGGATCGCGCCCATTGTCCCAGGGGCTCTTCTCTCTCCGTTCTTTACTTTTCCTCGTTCCATATATATTTTTCCTCCCGTTTAGACTTTCCCTCGCCCCTTTATCTACCCCTGGGTCTCCGAGGATGACGCCGCGCTGTTAAGAGGCAAACTTACCAAATTTTCGCTTTTAACTTTACAAGGCGTTTTTCAATTTTCGAAACCCAACATCTAAACTTATTCTTGTTGCGATAATGTTCGCCTCCTTCGCCCTCTTCATACAAAATTACCACACAGTCAATGATGACCACGCCGTCTTCAACCTCAGCGACCTCAGACATTGTGAGAAAACGTTTAAGACCTCGAATTACCGGCACAGGTACACAGATCGACAAGCCTGGTAAGGTAACTTGACTCATTATCATTGGATGCAACAACAATCTCATTGTATATTATCGACCATTAACTGTCACAAAATGACCCACAAATGGTGTAATCATTTACCGTTATGTCTCAAGACTTCTAAATATTAACTTTTATTGACCTTTATGTCTTACTGTGTTTTGTTTTGCGTATTGTATCGAAAGGAAAGCGCAAGTAAACGGTACCGTAATACCGTGAACAATCTTATTTCACCGTATACCGTCAGCCAAAATGATGAAAAACCGCATACCGCAGAGCTAGATGATACCGCAATACCGCACGTTAAAATTAAAATTACCGAAATACCGCATGAAAAAAAGCCCAATACCGCAATACCGTAAACCCCCATGTCCCCCTCAGTAATCAAAAGCATTGCCACGATATTGAAAGAACAGCGGCGAGCCGCCAAATTTGTAAAAAACTGCTACGACGGGGAACCCGGTACAGTCACTAAACTGTCCTGAACGATTTGAACTGGCATTCACTAGAACTAAACCGCACGACTTACTACCATGTACAAAATAGTGAACAATAAAATTAGGGTCAATATTCCGGAGTACATTGCACGCCCAACCCATGTAACAGGCTCTTACCATAGCAGCAAGTTAATAAACATTGGTAGTAACAGCAATACCTATAAGTACAATTGTTTTTAACGAAAACTTTATTTACCTCCCTTTTTATTAGATCAGCCTTCCGTGGACGCATTTAAATCTTCAGTTACTAATTATTTTACAGTCTTCCTCGTTGATTTTTACATCATTTTATTTTATTATTTATTTTTTGTTGTTTTTTTTTCTTTTTCACAGTGATGGGAAACCTTTGTAAATTACAATACAGTCGAATCCCTCGGTACGGACACCTCTCTAATACGTACACCTCACTACTACGAACAGTTGCCAATTTCCCGACAAAATTCTCATATTTTTTTTTTTAAAGAAATCCTCTTTAATACGGACTCTATACAGAGGAACATAACCGACTTTTTTAAGGCTTGAATAACTACAGTTATAGCATAAAGACTCTTATCTTTTCTATTACATTTTGTACTCTAGGTACTGTTTACTGCACTTGCAAAACAGCGAAAGGCGCTTTCAGAATTGTGCTTTACGTTACAACCTTTACTTGCAGCATTACGCTGTAGCTTGTTTCGTTTTAAAACAGTGATTTGTCTACAACTGTACTTACTTTGTAGCTTAGATGTACAATGTTAAGGTAAGGTAAGGTAACGTAACGCGTTTATTTAAAGAGGGTGAACACGTGACAGTTATGATAAAACTGATAAACTTGTGGCCCTCTATAAAACATAAAGCAAAATTAATATTAAAATAATTTTACACTGCCATTATAAAAAAAATTTAAAAACTATCGAGGGTCTTATTTAGAAATTTTAACTATATTAACTATCTAAAACAAGTTATTTTACAGACTTGAAATTTAAAAGATATTCAAAACTATTTAAAACTATTTAAAAGAAATTCAAAATTACTTGTCTCTCTTTGCTTAGCGATCAAATTCGTATACAATTTCTTTTTAAAAGATTTAACATTTTTCACCCGTCTTTACGTAAAGGGACAATTCGTTCCAATTTCTAATAGTTCGCACGCTAAAAGTCCGGCGTCCTTGTGTGTTTTTCTTGAAAACAGGACAATGAAAATTTATATTTGCAAAACCAGTGGATCGGTTATGAATCTCAGAATTTGTATGTGTCTTTGTACTGTGAATTAATAAATTTAAATGCAGTTTAAAGGCGAGTGTGAGCCTGATTTTAGCTCCGGCTTCGATCCGGCTGAACACTTTTAAAACGCTGTGGCTATGGCCGGTAACCGGTCAAGGTTTTCAGAACACTAAATGGCCGACAGTCCTATATTCTCAGTAAATTTCACAAAATGGAAAGATTTTAGGTAATCTAAACTATCATATGTCGATTAAGACAAGTCAAGCGATCCTGAAATGCTTTATAGGTCTCAAGGAAAAAGAACTTTTTTCAGCGCGACAATGGTCAAAGGGTTTTCAAAACACTAAATGGCCGGCAATACTCAGTTTTCACAAATTGAAAAACAAAATTTTCTGAAAGATCTAACTGGCAGTGGAGGCGTATTTTGGACAAATGTTTGTTCGAGTTGTTGTACCATCTTTGATTTTATGGCTCGCCCCATTTCCTCCTATTTTCGACAGTTTCAACATGGTTTCGGAAATAGTTTATTCGAATTGATCCGCTGAATATAAACATATATTACATTTACAGGGTTATTGTCGACGTAAACAAAATATTCCGAAAACCTTACTTGAAATAATTTGAATATACACAAAAGACAGAGTAATAAACAGGTCTTCTCGTTGGAATTTGTGAATATATTACTTCAGATTGAGGCTAAGGCTGTAAAAAAATGCGTCTTCACTTGTTAAATTCAGCGGTCATAGCGAACTCGAAAATGGACTATTGCGCGCTCAAAGAAAACGCTTGCTCTGCAGGCTATGAACTATCATAAGTCGTGATCCTGATCAAGCCAGCCGGTTTTGTGGATTTCTATATCATGTTTTTGTTGGTCTCAAGTCTTTGGATGTTCGTTACTATTTTCTGTCCAAAGCATAACGTGACAGGCGACGTTTGACGTCATAACATCTTGACCTTTCATACCGCCTCCGCGGAAAACCGGCGGGAAACTGAGTCTCCTCTGTCTCTGGAAAACACTAGACTTGAGATCAAAAAAGCATTTCAGGATCGCTTGACTTTGCTAAATCGACATATGATAGTTTAGATTAGCTGGAATCTTTTGATTTCTGTGAAATTTACTGAGAATATAGGACTGCCAGCCATTTAGTGTTTTGAAAACCTTGACCGGTTACCGGCCATATAGCCACAGCGCTTTTAAAACTGTAAGTGGAGTCATAATAAAAGTGACGTCATCGTAGTGGCCTTTTCTCGGACGGACACCTCTCTAATACGGACACTTTGCTTGGTCCCTTCGGTGTCAGTATTAAAGAGGTTTGACTGTGTAACATATAAAGGAATAAAGAAATAAACTTTCCCTTCGCATCTGTGTCTTTTGGAGGTGTAATTTTAACCATGAAATGCGAAACACTGGTCTTGTAAACCACCGCATGAGATGTCTCATGCTCTTTTGTCTCACTTTTGAGGATTTTTGTCTAGGCCTCACATTTTCGGTAGTCACACTCCGCCATGGTCCGCCATCCGTCAAAGGTCTCGTGGGAAATTATTCGGATGATGGAATCCGAACTGACCAGAGGTCGCCTTCCTGTTGATTGCCTAAAATTAGCATTTGCCACTTGGTGAACAACCCACGGGTGAATGTACGTTCGAAATCTATTTTTTTAACTAAAAAATACGTCCAATCTTTTGTGCCGTCTTGAAACTTATCTTTCAACCATGTAGAGTACAAAGTTGCTCCGAGTTTTTTCTAATAATCCTCGAATAAACAACCGCATTCGTCTGATTATCTGCCCGCGTCCAATCAAGGGCGGCGTTATGGAGGAGCTGCTCCAGCTGTTTTTACGTGACGTCCCTACCTCAACTGCTTTTAACCGCTGGCTTTTGAACCTGTGGACTCGGCGATATTGCGAGGATATGGATGTCATCGAATTTCGAATTTTTGGACTCAATCTCTTTTCCACGTCACGACTGTAATATGAACTCTGAACTGCGAAAATCTGCTGGCTCAGATATCAAGCGACTGCAGGAGATGGTTAAGAGGCTCGAAGAACAAAATGCCCAGCTGAAGAGCAGCGATTATTCGTTGAACCGGCGGACTCCAAACAACAGAGTTATGGGTGATGAGGCCACTATGGTTAAAGTCAAATTAAATTTGGATGATGTTCCTCTATTGGATTTAAATGCAGCGGTAGAAGAAGATGACGATACATGGTAAATAGATTGTTTCTTATGTTTTTTATTGTCCCAGGAAATCTTTTTATATTTATCAGCTGATTTGTCTCGAACACTGAAGAGCGCCAGCCATAAAATGTTTAGCTCGGCAGGAAATATAAGCTTAAGAGAAACAGAGCACTCAATAATAGCTTAACTCATCAGAAGGTTGATTAAAGGAAACAAAATTACGACCATGAATTAATGTAATTCACTAAAGCCTTGAAGAGCAAGACCCTGAAAAGGAGCATGTTCTTTTATTACTGAATATTTTATGAAACACAGCAACTTTTTGCCTTCTTACATAAGATTATGTTTCAATTTTTTGGCTCATGTATCCTCCTGTAGTTCTTTCAGTTTTTCATTGCAATTGTGTTAATTTGTTAAATATAACTATTTGCTTAATAGTCCTCACCGGAAATGTCATTGCGGCGCTCAGCTTGACATAAATGTCAGAATGAAATAACAGTGTTTTCCTAGACTGTATGTCAAGATACAAAATTGCTGTATTAAAGGGCCCTAATACAATGAGTGAATTTTATGCACTAATTGTGTTTGGTCATACAGTCTACGAAACCATTGTTATTTCTTTCTCACAGTTCTCTTAATCGCTTACAGTGCAACTGGGAAAACCGTGAACACTTGAAATATCTCAGGAATGTTTATTGTGTTATGTCCAATCGCAGCAAAAGTCACAACACACGAACTGGCCACAAAACCACAAACTACACTGTAATACTAGTAATAGTTGACACTACAGCTGCCCCTGTTATATTGTCGGTCAATAGTATTCTTACTGGTTGTGTAGCTCTTTGAAATATACCGATTCATAATGAAGATTTTCACACATATTCCATACAATAGGTGAGATAAATACAGGAAATGCAAGGTTCCAGGCACAGTTTCAGCTCGATTTACACAGCTTTGATCAAAACATTCTCACTTTCGAGAATAGTTTATTCTAACCACAAGAAAAGATTTAATTAGAAGTTGAATTTTTAGCTATTTCTCTTTCCCTTTTTACATTCAGTTCATTTTATTTTCTGGAAAGTAAGCGTTAGAAATTAAAAGGACGTTTGATCGATTCACGTTAGCGCATTCTAGTCTTATTTGAAACTTTATAACGGAAGGACATCTGTGAGCAGGGAAAAAGTCAGCACAGAATTTGATTGTCGGTGAATTTCTGTAAATGTCCATCAATCTGCTAGTGATAAGCTAGCCATTGTTCACTGGTCTTGCTTGTTTGGAGCTGAGTCTTATTCTGGTCAAAGAGAGAGAAAGAGTGTCTGGCAAGGTTTCCAATATAAATCAAAGATTTGTGAACTCGTGTCTGGCAAGCTCTCCATGTGTTTATATATCTGCACAGTTAAACGCACCTTATAACCTCCCCTGCGCTTAACGAGTGTCTTTTGGTCCATAACTTTCAAAACAACTGCTCCACAGAATGTCAATGCGTAACGCAAAAGAGTGTCGAAGTATGACTGCACAATAAATGTCACAAAATCTACCTGAGCCGTCCCGTCGGGATTTTCTGTCTTTACGTCATCCTAACCATTTCGTACTTGCAGACGCAAACAATAGAAACGTCATCATTACCTACCAATTCCTCTCGGCCCCAGTTCGAGCAAATCGAGATTTTTTCTGGTATACTGACTGTATATTTGAACTGTAAGTGCTGTCCTTAATATACGCGCGAGTTACTAGGGTGACCTTGGGATTTCGCCCCTGCAGGGGCAATTACTGTTGCCACTTGCAGATTAGTTTTCTCACACCTGATTGGTTTTTTTCTTGCAACACAATAACATTCCAGAAATATTTCTGCAGGGTTCGTACAGGTCATGCAAAAAACCTGGAAAGTCATGGAATGCAAGAATTTCGTTTTCAAGGCCTGGAAAGTCATGGAATTTAATTTTTTGTCCTTGAAAGTCATGGAAAATTAAAGTTTTGTTTGGTAGATTAGTTGCTGCAGTTGACAAGGCAAGGATAATGTAAGACAAAGAGGAGTAATTAAACAGCGCGAATGACATGCATATTAGTAGATACCAGAGTTTGTTTTTGTTGAACTGTTTAAAGTCAAAACAGGGTTTCCAAATTTTATTGATGAGCGGAGTCACTATGACTTCTGCTTCACAAATTTTGGGGTCATTTTGGAATATTTGGAGTCAAGTATCACAACGAAAAAAGCCATTTTTAGACTTTCCAACATGTGGTCCTGGCATGTATACACTATCGTGAGGGATACACGAAGTAGCTGTGGTGGGCCGCTGCCCTGGAAAGCTCAAATCCATGATAGCGGCCATCGAGTAAACTTTGATTGTAATTTACCCTCTTCCTGTTTTGTCGTTAAGTATAATTCTTTAATTTTGACGATTTAATTAAGGTTTACAATGTTTAAAATTAATGTAAATTGTATTTGTTGTGAAAAAGGTAAGGACAAAATATTGTGTTTGTTACCGAAAATTTCTGGAGTCGAAGTTAGGCTCCCTGTTTGTTACCGAAAATTTCTGGAGTCAAAGTGACTCCCTTCGTAACCTCTGTGGAGTCATCTGAACAATATGCTAAAACAAGTAAAGTTTTGAAAATTTTTGGAAGTAACAGCTAAACCTAAGGTCATGGAAAACTAGAAAAGGTCATGGATAGTCATGGAATTTGAAGAACTTGAAAGAGTGCAAACCCTGTTTCTGGTGTTCACAGTTATCTCAGTTTGACTGTCATAGCCTATTACATTTTTTTGTGCTTACAGCTGGCTTATAGCCAGTACACATTATGTCAATATCTGTGTAAGTCCGTCCATTTCCTGGCAACCATCTGTAGTCTGCTGTTAAGAGGGTTCAACCAAGCCACTTACAGTGTATTATGATGGACACCCGTAATGGTAGGTTGAAGATGATAACAACATTAGGCTCGATTACCAGCCGCTGTTCAGGAAAATGAGCCCGCACTCAACCAGACCCGGGGGACGGCAGAAATCGAGCCTATAACAACATACGCTTGCCTTATACTCAAAACGTTCCTGGAGAATCTGCAGACACCTGTGAAGTGCATTCAAATGGACAACAGATGATGCTGGTGGTCTTGGTGACCAACTAGCCCTACAACTCAAGTGTATTTACACCTAAGCTCCACTGCATAGACCTAAAATCAGAAACTCTCTCTTCAACAAGGCTTACCCAGAATACGTGCGCCACCTCAACTCTTCTCAACGTTCCCAGCCCCTGACTCTCAGGCAGGGAATACACTGACCAACTATTTTGGATTTCAGCTGGGTTTTGTAATGTGTGAAAGGGAACTTAGAAGATTACAGATGTTTCAACTGTTTCACAAACCCTGAAGCCACCTACTACTGGTAACTGCAGTTATCTAAATATAAAACGTGTTACCATCAAGTTTCCTGGCTTGTCAATGCTTCCAAACCCCTTGTACCGGTTGCTTAGCACCAAAGCACTAGAACAGGCAGATCTTTGACAGCTGGCGTCAATCATTGGCAGGATTGTATGACAGGAAACAACTTGGAATGTTTCAGTAAAAGACAATCCTGAAATGCTGTTAAAGTAACCTCCAATGCATGTGTGACCACCTTTGATGTCAGTGACTACCTCAGATAAGTGCAATTATTTATTGGCGAAAAGACCAAAATTTTCTCAGTCAAATTAATACACTTGAAACCTCTCATTAATGACCACCTCTTGCAATTGACTAATAATCACCTTTTTGGATGACAGTTGTAGAATTTAGTTTGATCTCTTTGTACTACACTACTCAGAGTATGAGAACTTGTTATGACAAGATGAAACTATGCATATCATACATTATAAATACATGCAATGAATTCTTCTCAAAAATGTGGATGTGTTCGGATTTAATTATTGGTAGCGTACATTTACAACTTAATACTACCATTGTAATATTATGTTATTCTATGCAGTCACTGTTGATGATGTAAAGTTAAAGATAATTTCATCGAGAAACGTGGCCTCCCTCCTGTAGTATTGATAAAGACTTGACAGAGACTGGAAATGGCACAAGAAAAGTCTCTGGTACCTAGGGTAGTAATACATATAGGCCAACTCTTCCAAAGTCTCCCGGATACGGCACTGATCTCCTGCTTTTCCACATGGGTCACCAAATCTCTCCCATCAAATGGACTTCTGAGCTTTTCTGTGCTTTAGTTTGAAATTTTGCCCATTTTTTTTCTCAAAATTTGAACTTCTCATTTATTGAATGGTTTCTGGAACAGTTTTGCATGTATAAGTTTATTTCATCATTACAATGATGAAAGTGAATTTTGATAGCATGTACTTTATGTAAGACTCCATTTACATGTAATGTCCTAAGCCATAGGCCAATTTGTGGGTGGGGTGTGCATTGACATTCAGAGGGGGTTACTGCAAAAGAGAGAGTCTCCATATTTTAGATTTCCAGCTAGAGGTTGGCATCTCTGGTAATATTGTGGTCACTTTGTTATCATCATTCATAGAAGAGGTTACATGATTGTTTTTAACTAAAACAGGTTGTATGTGTCCCCAAGTCATCCGCCATCTGCTGAACAGAAAAGGATCAGCCCTTATAGATACCTAAAAGACAGCTTAGATATACCTGAACTGAATAAAGTGAGGGGTTCACTTCTGGCCAAACTGGAGTCAATTGCAGCACAAGAAGGTGGGCATTAAAACTAGTCAGCACCAGGTAGGGAAGATAATTAAAAAAAAAGGCGTGGGACAGTTATACGGTAAGATAATGTGACCAGATTACATTAATTTTTCATACCTTGGTGAGAAGAGAGAGGACAGTAAATAAGAAATCAGATAACCATTATATCGGAAGAATATATCCAAATTATTTGGATGTTTAAAATTTTCAAGGACAGTTTGCTTTAAGCACAATTTGCCATCTTGTGTTTAATTGTTTTACAGGTACAGTAACAAAAGAAGGATTGCTTTCTCTTTATTTAACTTAATGCTCAATAAAAGGTATGCATCTGCAACCTATGTACTGCAGTGCTGGTTTTCTTTTCTTTAATTCTTTTCCCTGGTTGTTTTTTGTAGAGGCACTGTCAGGCTCCCCTCCCAGTGAAAGTCAGCACCATCATCATCGTCATCCAGATCATTCAAGAACTGATGAAAGTAAGTGTGTGCGGCAGACTTTATACACTACATAATAATAATAATAATAATAATAATAATAATAATAATAATAATAATATTGTAATTAATCAAGTCTGAGCTGTGCCCTTTCTTTAAAAACATTAGTACAGGATGTTGCCCACTATCTCGCCGGTACCAGTATCCAGCCACTTAAAACAAAAACTCAATTTTTGCAGCGCCCCCTTTAAGTTTTCCGTAAACAAAGTATCTCGAATGGAAGCTGAAGATTTCACCTGTAAAATACAATTTTTCGCGGGTTTACGGCTTGAGAAACAGTCGCAGAAGGCAGGTGAGTAAACTTTTCTTGGCTAATATTTATGCTGTTTACCGCGCAGTGAAACTAGTGGCCATGGTGTTCAAATAAGGGTTGGTAATCAGGGCTTAAAGTTTAAATTTGAGTTTGGCAGCACTGGTGCTACCAGATGTAAATTGTTAGGCGCACTGCCGAAATTTTAGGCGCACAGCTGAAAATTTTAGGAGCACAGCTTATAATGTTGGGAGCATCCGTTTCAAAAGAAAAAGTAAAGTTTATTTGTCATCTTCAGTTTGTTACTTTTACTTCAGTCCTGTGATTGATAAAACACAGCCGATTTGCTACGCAGTAATACCGTTGTGATTTTTAATACTAATTTCTCTATTTGACAGTACAGTTGTGACTAAAGAAAACTTACACTTGAAAAACAATTCAAAACTGACAACAATGAGTGTGTTGAACAAGAATGAAAATTAATCTTTAATGAATTTGTTAAATGCGCAATGACTTACATGTAACTGGAATACGAAATAAAAAACTTTCTTACCTGGAAAAAAAGGCTCTTAATTCACACTGTTTTTGTTTTGATTGACGTTAAAACTGAACGTTCGACATGATTGTCCATTGCGCAAAAAGTACGTGCTTCGTTCGTAGCATATATTTGCATGTGTCAGCGGTGTTTATTACAAAACAGAAGAGTCTGGGATGGAGTAAAACATCGAAACGAAAAAGAACATTCGAGTTCGTAGAATCCATTGGGAGAAAAGACCAATTAAACATACACCGTCTTTCTAGTTCGAGTTCGTAAGTGTAGTCGGAAGTAAGTCAGTCGCACTGTGCTTTGGGTTTTACGGCGCACAGGTGCGATTGTACATGAATCTTAAACATATCAAATAACACGACTTTACTCCAACAAGCTGTCAACAGGTCCGTCCTTTGGGAGTTAGATTGCCAGATAAACATGTTTTGGATGCAGTATGGTGTCTTCTTTTTCGCGCAAAAACAGCCTTGGAAACGAAAATTCTCTCGCTCATATCTCGTTTAATTTTTGTTATATCGACATTAAATTTTGCATGCAAATCCCTATTGCCATCGTCTTTGAACTGAGAAAAAATGATGGCGATCGGATATAGTCACTTTAGCCTCCAGGAATACCTTAAACATACACCGTCTTTCTAGTTCGAGTTCGTAAGTATAGTCGGAAGTAAGTCAGTCGCACTGTGCTTTGGGTTTTATGGCGCACAGGTGCGATTGTACATGAATTTTTAGGCGCACAACCAAAAATCCAGTCGCATATGCGACCAGTTAGTCGCTAACTTTGAGCCGTGGTAATATGTGATATTTTCAAAGAAACTGTTTTATATTTAAAGTGAAATTACTTAAAGAAGCCAGGTTGTCAGAAAAATCATTAATTCTTCTTGAAATTCAATCTGTTTGGGATAACGCGGGCCAGAAGTATTCACTGATGTCAGGTGCCCAGTATCTGGCCAGTTTTTTCTTTGCTGTGCAAAATTGATGAATTAGTTGCATACGTTATCCGGGAAATATTTATTTCACATCTATGATAATAATAAAGCTTTGGCTATATAATAATTATAATCTGTATAATGTAATTCTACTCAACTCCTTTTGAAAATTTTCTTCACTCATTCAGAGGCTAATTGATTTCGTATGCATGGCTTGTTTTGCGTGACTGCATTTTCTATATATAACCGAAAGCACAAAGTTGAACCCAGAATTCACATAGAAATGGGGTTGCAACAGCTAATCTTAAAAAATTAATGTCTCAAAGAAGGAGGAATTAGTGCTGGGAAATAGTGATACCACGTCAAATTACTTGTTGCATCTCTGTTTGGGGTAATTGTTCAGTTGCAATGTTGTCTGAAATTGAGAAATTACACATAAAAGTAGGAAGAGTCTTTCACAAAGTCCCATATGCAGAATGTTTTGGACAGTGAAGTGATGGACTATATCAAGTGGCAAGTCATCTATTAAGGATACGTATACAAACATAGACTAAGCTGTTGAAGTCCTTACAAAGGTGAAGCAATGGCTCAATGGCAGATTGATAACATTTTTGACTTTTGTTTAATCTAAGCATGAGGGTTTATCACTTGAGGTAAAAGGAAAGAATACAGAGTTAGGGAGAAACAGTTTTGCATCGGCTTTATAATTTGCCACTATTGACCTGCATTACCAAAATAAGTCATTTATTTATGTATATATGTATGTATGTATTTATATATTTTCCGTGAAGTTTAAGTACAAAATTTGTTTTCAGAAAGAGGTAATTCATAATTTTAAAAATCACCTTTTGGTCATATGCATGTGACCAGCTACGAACTTAAACATTTCAAGAAAATGGTGTGGGTTTTCAAAACCAAATCACTATTATTTTGTTTAAAAATAAGACCCACTAATCGTTTTTGGAAGGTAAAATCATGTAACTTTTATTTTCATGAAAATGATGTTACATGACCTCTTAGTGCAAATTAATGATCTATATAAGGGCTAGGTGATTTTATTTTTCCCAGTTATTCCGAATAATGGTATTGTTGTAATAATAGTGATGCCAACTCTCCCGCTTTTGGTGGGAGACTTACGCTTTTTTGCCTTGTCTCCCGCTTTGGTACATAACTCTCCCGCTTTTTACGTCCACTATAAATACTGAATACTTAGTGAAAAATAAAACAGACTTAGTTTGAGATTTAGCCCATTTTTAGCTCAAAAATTGAATTTTTCTAACTCGTGGTACGGTTTCTGGGGCATTTTTGCACATATTTAGTCATTTGACAAAGATTATTTCTAGCATCAAAACGATGATTTTGAATTTTGATAGTATGTACATCATGTAAGATGTCATTATAATGTCTTAAGTCATTCCCGGCTGGGTCAATTTTTTGGGGGGTTGGGGGACAGTCTCCCGATTTTAGGTCTCCAGAGGTTGGCATCTCTGTAATAAGTTAACTCCAATAAGTAACCACAACATCTTGCTTGTTTTCTTTGCTCTGTTGCTTGATATAATGCAAGGTCAACAGATTAAAATGTTTTCTGATCCTTTGAATTGTCAACTGTTCCAAACATTTGGAGAAAGTTTTAGAAAGAAATTTTTTTATTGGAAATAGCAAGTGTAACTTGTGACTCGATATGTAATTATCAACCATCTTATTACAGACTGTTATATGCCAAACTGTAAAGATGGTAAGTAGCCGTGGGTCGGAGTTTAACACCAGGACAAATCCCTGCTTTGAATTCCTGAACTGGCTTAAGCCTCCCTTGGTAGTATGGTGGTTGAGAGCTGCCTGTAGGAAAAATCTCAATTTTCCCAGTTTTTGTTTATATTTGTGTATTTTTAGTGCTTCATCAAACTAACAGTTTATTTTTGTTATTGACCTTTTTTTAGGTTCCACAAATCAGTATTATAAGGCAGCATTAACATAACATTATTACAGTAAATTTTGTTTTTGATATCCTTAAAATAAATCAATGATGTTTAAATCATGTAGGTTCACATAGGAAGACATCAATGCAAATGACTGACAACATCCAAGGTGATGATAGTGAACTGAAACAGCAAAGGCATGTTCCTTCTCCCACAGCTGTCAGCCAGGATGATTCAGATCTGGTTGTGAAAGGTGGTTAATTAACTTTTTGAGATATGATTCAGACAGAGAGGGTTTTTCTAAAATACAACATATATTATAATATATAGGTGAATCCTGATGTACATGTAGTAGCATGTTAACTCGAACCTTCAAGGGAAATCTCAAAGTCTTGGGGCAGAGTCCAACAAAATTTGACAAGTATATATGGGCATTTTGCTGCATGGGCAAGTACACATGTAGCATGTAAAAATTAATTAATACCCACTGAGCAACATGAGCTGGTTGTCCCACATCACAGAGCAATCATAAGACTTCACGCTACAGGTGTATCTGTAATTTTTTTTCCATGAGTTTCACCAACATTTTCAGAGGACTGCTTCTATACCAAACCATGCACAACCTATTTTTATTATAACGTTTCATAAAACCATGCTAAGAATCCATTGTCATCTAGGAAAACTCTTTAAGCCATTAATTTGTTCCATTTTAAAATTTTTGGCCTTCGCTTTGAACTATTGTGCAGGGTTTTCATTAATAATCCTAGTAGCAGCTGGAGAAAGGTGTAATGTTACTCGAGAATATTTTGATTGAGGCTCCACATCTGCATAAAAAATAGTTGTAAGCTAGCGAATGTTAGGCGGAGAATTCTGCATAGTAAATGGGGAATTCTCTGATCTCCAATGTAATGAACACCCTGGTTGTGGTACTCAGAGGGTCAACAGTCTTGCACAAATTTGTGACAATCTGGGATCTTGAACAATAATACATTTGAGGTGAGGCATGTTAATTTATAAATAGCAGCCAGGCCTTCAGCTGGATGAAAGAATAATATGATGCATGGATCCTGCTCATAATGGACAGAGAAGACGTTTTACATCCAAAAGGAGGTGTATCAGGCATGATTTGTGCATATTTTAAGACATTTCTGCATCTTAGGGGTGGGATGAATGCAGGTAGATGGATCATTGAATGGCCTAGCTATATGCTTTAATTATTGGGATACTGCTTCAGATTATACTGTACCCCTAAGAACTTTATATTCTGAATACAGTAAAACCTGACGCATAAGAACCTGTCAGGGTGAAATTTTCATTTTGAGCACCCTTCACATAAGAACCATTTCAGGCTGAAATTTCAAAGTAGGTTCTTAATTTCCAAAGTACAATATAGAAAACAATAACATGTGCATAACTTAGCACTATTTTGTAAGATTTATGTGCTTTTAATGTTTGCACTCTACTATTATTCCATGTAACTAGCATGAAAAATAATGTGTGAATAATTTAATAAAAAAGGCCATGCCCACCAATACAAGTACTTTTTTCTTACCAAAAATTAAGAACCCATTTAAGAACCTGGATAGCCTGATTTCAAGTTAAGCACCATTTATGTAAGAACCTGTTCAGGCTGACGTGGAAAAATCTAGGTTTTTATGTGTGGGGTTTTATTGTAGTCATTCACAGCATTGTTTTTAACATAACTTTTCTTCTGTTTTTTTACCTTTTGTACAAATTATCTAAGCTTAAATAACTTTTGTTGACTAGTCAATTTAACATCATTTGGAGTGCGTATTTTGTTTTATATAGACACTGGCCACCTAGACTAGCCTCTGCTATTTGTGGGCAGTAAGAAAATAAAACTGTAAATCTGAATAAACCAATGAAAATGAATGAATGAATGAATGAATCTTGAATGGATGAAGAGATTCATATGTGATTGTTGATTGCTGATGCCATTTTCATATTAATTTTTCATTAACTGATGTTTTCATAATGTTACTGTTTTCCTTTTTTGACAGGTCCATTAAGGAGAAGAGGAGGTCCCTCCAAGCCAGCAACAAGTAATGAGATATTTTCCATCATTAGGCTAAATGTAAAGCAAAAATTTATTCATAGCCACAGAAATTCCCTGTTATTAACACTGAGTGTGTGTAATTTATTTATGATACTCATTAAAGATACATTAGTCTTATTTATCAGTGATTTTTGATTGTTATTAATAAATGAATTTTTAAAGTTGCCTGGAAGTGATGTCTATATTACTTAATATAAAGAAGGTAACTATTTTTATCAAGTTTAAAAATTATATAAAGTTAATAACTATTATTGGATTCTTCCCTTGAATGAAGTCTAGGTACAAGATTAGATAGAATACAACAATTAATTCTTCATTGCAGTAAGAACATTCTTATTGATTTTGTGTTTTAAATGCATGCATGTCTGCCCTGGTACTCGATATAACGAACGTCTATATAACAAAGTTCTTGGTATAACGAACAATATCAAAGACCTTGATAATACATAGATTTAGCCGGGGCTAAAAGTGAAGCTCTGGTTAATAATACTTGTAAACAAGAAAATTAAATTATGTAATGCTATACGGGGAGGGCAATGAAAATGGCATCAATAGATCTAATTAGCAAAAAAAACAAATTGCATGTGCAGCACACTTTTTTTTCTAATTAGCAAAAAACCCAATTTGCACGTACAGCACACTTTTTGTCTTTCTTTGCTGTTGTTTTGCACAACTACAACGCTGTTTTGTAGGACTAAAACGTCAAACTTCCTAGTTACACATTATTTTTATGGAGGAATTGTCGTATGTGCTTACCCAATATTTTGTCTCCTGCTTTCATGTTTGCTTTTATTTTTCGCTTTCGCTCATTTTCACCTTGCTGGCCACTAGCATTTCTCATTGTCTCACAGCCGCTTTGAATTTTCATGTTTTTCTTCCTACAAAATTAGTCTCTTTTGTTTTCAATCACTCGCTGTAGCTCTTTCTCTGTTATCTAGGTGAGTGTAAACATAAAAAATAACGTCGAAAAAGACACGACTTTCTTGTTGTTTTTTCTTTCTAAAAGTCCGGGAGGCCATGCGATTTCTTTCCAAATAAAACCTTGAGTTGCATTTGGGTTGCCGTACCTGTTAATTGAATTATTTTACATTGGTATGCCTGTGGTGCGGACTGACGGCCTGGCGGTCGGTCGGTCGGTGCACGGTCACGTCATTACCAAATTTTCTCGGATGGGTAGTTCACCACCTTTTTTTTATCCATGGTGCTCCGCTGCACACACTTTGCGCGCAACAGCTCCGCTATAATGAAACCTGGTTATAGGGAACAAATTTTGCCATCCCTTGTTCCTTCATTATATCAAGGTCCCACTGTATGGATAAAACCTAGATTGGCTAAAAATCTTTTCAAAACTTTCCATGGTAGGTTTGCACAAGAATCCAGAAGTTATGAATGGTGACAGTGATGATGACAGTGATGATGATAATAACACACTTAGACCTCAGAGACGTGTCCCTGCTACTTCAAATTTTCACTCCACAAACCAGGATGACTCTAGTCTTGTAGTAAAAGGTATTTTAATTGGTGATTTTACCAGTATATACATTAAATGTTACTTTGTGTTATTTTATCAGCCAATTTTCCAGGGGTGCTGAAAAAGACAGTACGATTCTTTTCTTTGTAAAAAAATATAAATTCAATCCTGTCATGCACAAGTTAGTTAGTGCTTACAGCTGTATTTGAATTTATCATGGCGACATCTTAGGTGTTGATTTTTTGATGGGATATGTTGGGTCTTAATTCTGCTTCTCAACAGTTTCTCTTAGAGACATACATGTAACCAGTATGCCACTAATTTAGTCTTGTAAACCAAAGTGTAATTTGGAAAGATGGAAAGGTGTGGCATTACAGGTGTATGTGTCATTTTTCATGTGTTTTAATGTTGCAGTGCATCTTTGACATGCACTTTGATTGACTTAAATACTTCTGCAGTTCTGCAGTTTCTATGTGGTTGTGTGTGTTTTAATTTTGGGTATAGTGGGGTGGTCTGTTCACAAAAATGTTTCCATTTGAGCAAATGCTGCTATCTGTTCAAGTAATCTGTGGAAAATTGTAACCAGATTTACATTGTCTGCCATAACTGTAAGTGCCTATAGTAAATATTTATTTGTGAGAGTTGATGAGATCTTCATGAGATTGGAAGGGATCAGTTTGAAGTCTAAGACTTTAATTTAGTTAAACTGCATGTGTTAATCCTTCTGGCAAGTTTTTCATGAACTTTGTAATAGAGACCTTCCCGAGCTTGCCCATCCCCTGTACATGTTAATAAGATTTATTACATAAAATATTATTGTAGTTTTTAAGTAAAGGTATCTGTGTATAGTGAGGTGACTTAATATTAATCATTTCAAGTATCTGTCATTTTGGCAGGTCCAGTTAAAAGGAGAGGACCATCACCAAAAACAAGGGCATCATTTGGTGAGAGGGAAAAACACTTTATTTTAATGTTAATTGTGCACATGAATTAATGTGATAAAGTTCTGCACGTAGTATTTCAGGAAATTCACGGCCAGTCATCAACAGAGTCGAATGTTTGTTGAAAATTCAGCTGCACTGTATAGTTTATAAACAGGAAATTTTCAAAAACAGTGGACTTCAAAGTGATTACAAAATTATTCCGTCTTTAACAGATGCAGTTACAAGTGTAGATGGTTATTATGATGATAGTGGGCTTATCCAGCAAGAAAGACCACAGAGACAAGTCCCTGTTCCTCAAGAATTTGAAGACCTTGTAGTAAAAGGTAAGGCTGCTGATTTTTTAAACACATTTCATAAAATCGTTAATAATTATTGTAATATTTTATTGTTCAATGTGGTGTCCCATGCTGTAACACACTATTCAATTGACTCATCATTGGCTCTTCTTGGGTATGAAGCAAGGCACTTTCAGAAACTTTTAATTATTGGGAGGCTCTGAATACCACAACACTAAAGTAAACAGACACCACAGCACCGGTCAAGTAAAGTTGATGAAACATCAACCCTGTGACTGTTTTGTTTACAAGTAGTCCCACAACTTGCATGTTCTTCAGTCGATGTCCTCATTTACCCAGGATGCCCCCCTGCATTTGTGGCCGTTCAGTCCTCTCACAGCTTTTATTTTCATTAGCCTTAAGAAATAAAAAGATTGGTAAACAGACTGAAAATGAAAGAGGTATTTAACTTTCCCATTCAGCGTGTAAAAATACTATTAACTGACTCCTACACTGACCATCTCTTTGGTGTCCAATGTCAAAACCATACTCCTAGGCTAGCAAGCCTACTCGTCTTTCAAATTGTTTAAGTGACATCAGCCACTTTAAGACATGAAGTGATGTATATAATAATAATAATAATAATAATAATAATAATAATAATAATAATTATGATAACAATGATATTAATAATTACTATCATTAATTATTATTATATTTTGTTGAATTACCCATGACATTTCTAATTTTGTTAATTTTTCTGGGGGTAAATACTGATCCAATTAAGGGTAGTTTTGGTGTTTAGAAGCTAGAAGTTTTAATTGATGTTTAGCTATCATAAGCATTAAATTTTTGTTTTCTTCAGAAATATGTTATCCATGTACTTTGCAGGTCCTTTAAAGAGAAGAGGGGGAACTCCGCAGCAAAGACAACCAGTGGCTACAGGTTAGTTGAAAATTCACTTTGAGTCCAATGGAACTTCAATGGTTGGCTGAATGCAATGAAAACTCCTCATATTTAACCTTCGCTAAAACTCTGTCTTCTGTCCATTTAAATTTTGTGTAAAACAGTGTTTGTTTACATCCATGTTTTAAGTTTAGAAGATGGCTGATTTTAAAATAATTTGATTACTTGGTAGGTTTACACCACAGTGCAGGACTTATGAATGAAAACAATGATGATGATGACAGTGATAATGATAATTACATGCAAAGACCCCTACAGAGACGTGTACCTGTTGTTGCTGCTGCTGCTGCTGCTGCTGCTTCCGGCCCAAGCCTGGATGATTCTAATCTCGTAGTAAAAGGTAGTGGCAGAAGAAAACAAGCATTGCCATAATTATTTCTCTGATTAGTTAATGCCAGTGAGAGTGTCAGGAACATTTCTTCATCACTGTTCACACATACCGGTAACGTTGATTATATTATTCAGTCAAGTGAATTTCGTGTACACATGTACTGCATAACTGAGGCTGTAAAAACCCAATCTGACCACATCTGCTCAATGTGCGGAAGGGACTGTCATTTCGGAATCGGTCTTTGCAGCCACGCAAGGCGATGTTCGAGAATCACAAATCAAAGCACGACACCATTGTCTTTCAAGACTGAAGGATGCCAACCAGTAAAAACCTTATCAATCTTGTTCATGTTATGTTTGGGTTCATAGCCACAGTGCCCTAAACCTTGTTGAAATCACCTTGGCGTTTTTTCGTTTTAAGTAAGTGTTATCAGCCTTGCATGGCCTTGGTGCCTTTGACTGCACAGGGCTAATAACACTTACTGAGACCTTGATTATTCCGAATATCACAAAAAACGAATCTAATAATTTCTTTATTATAGATTGTTTTGAACAAACAAACAAACAGACAAACAAACACACCATTGCATAGAATGCAGTTTGACATCGCTCTTGGAAATCATGGATTGTGCATGCAACCTACAGATTGGTCTCTAATCTGCCAGCAGTCAGCTAACTAATCTGCAGGTTGCGCTGATTTCAAAATTTCCAAAATTAACTGTTGGCTCTTAGCCAGTGAGAAGACGATTAGTGATAACAATACTTCAGAAATCTAATGCTTCCTTCTTAGAACTGCTTGACATTGAATCCATGACTATGCAAAGTTGGGTTGCAGCCATGCATACAGTTCAGTGATTCATGTAACAGTAATTGACTTTCCATTTCTTGTCACTCCTTACTACAGCTTATTAAGGTATCCCCAGTTTATTTGAAATCCCTGGCTGCACTCCTAATTTTCCACCTGCCTGTGCATACATTGCTTTTCAGGTCCATTAAAGAGACGAGGTGGAACTCCGCAGCTAGGACAACCAGTGGCTTCAGGTGAGTTGAAGAAATTTAAAACACAAAAAAAGGTAAAAACAAGGGTAGTTTGCCGGGTTTGGTGGGAGGTACGTAACTGTAGAGGCCTTAACATTTCAGAACTACATTCCGTGGGTTGATGTAAAGGTGATGGTGAATTTTATGCCTGCTCAGTAAACGTACGAGGATGATATTTATTTAGTTAGTGATGCAATGGACTAGCAATAAAATAAAAAATTAGAGTTCCCTCAACAGCAGTCAGGGGCGGATCTAGGGGGAGGGTGCAGGGGGTGCGCACCCCCCCCCCCCCCGAGATGACCTGCGGTTTTCTAATACAACTGGTATTCTGCAAAAAAAAAACTATGTGGCTTATTGGTGTTGAAGTAGAGCAAGGGACGAGTGCACCCCCTCCTAAGAAAAATCCTAGATCCGCCCCTGGCAGTCGAACCTGTTAGTTACTATCCCAGGCCGGAGATCCTTAGTTTTGCTGCAGCGTCTTTTAATCCCGTAACACCTTCATAAATCCGTAACATCTTTAAACCTGGACGCCATCTTGGTACTGATGTTGTTAAAGGAAACGTTGTCTTAGCAATTTTGTAATTTCGCATGTGGCACTTTGAATTAACGCGGACGTTTTGCTCCAGAATGGAGGGGTAATTTGTCGACCATTACATGTCTTTGCAACAAAATCTACAGGTCCCGTAAAAAGAAGAGAATCACCACAACTTAGAGCATCAGTTGGTAAGCATCAGACAAAATGTGTTGGACTTACGTTTGTTGGGAGTAGAAATATTCTGTTTTTGTTTGTCACAAGCCTACTTCTTTTTTTCCAAAACTACTTGAGTAGAAATTTACAGTGCAAAGGGAACTGCTTGGTAAAATAACATGCCAATACATATTGACAGTGGAGGGACGTTTTTCCAGTGACCTTTTGTTCTGATAGTACTGAAACTTTCTCTGGTTGAAAACGTAGCTATTATCCAACACCTGACATGCAACCTAGTACCGTGTCTACCTTATTTACATGGAGGTGTATATGATTGACTGTGGCTTAATATCTGTTTTCTCCTTCACCAGACGCAGTTTCCTATATGGATGAATATGATAGTAATAATGGCTTCGTTCCTCAAGAAAGGCCACAAAAGCTTGACCCAGTGGCTTCAGTATCCCAGGAAAATGCAGACCTAGTAGTTAAAGGTTGTAATCAATTATTTTACTGCACTGTAAAGCGGAAAAAAGATGTAGACAGTCTCTTTGTAACTGACTACTGAGAACGCATTTGGTATTTTAACATCTTTTTTAACATGCTATGACTGGCTGCTATAGAGTGTTTTCACATGACGTCACGGCGGCCATATTGGTGTTCCAAAACAATGAAACGGCGGCCATGTTGGTGTCCCAAACCATCCCTCCGGGAGTGGAACTCTTTTCTTATGCAAACGCTTTCTTTTGTTCCAATAAATTTGCAAATATGCTGGCCACGGGAGAGAAAACACTCTATAAGTACACAGCATAGCCCCTTTAAGCGCTTTGTTCGCGAATGTAACGTTACTGCTAAATATTGTCCTTACTTTTCAAAATAAAATAGTAATAATTACCTTATTTACCCTCTGCCTTATAGCAGAAAGGCTAGTTGGGCCCAGCAGATCAGTGACTGCAACAAAAATTTCAATTGAAACATAACAGGGTTAAGAATCCTTACTAGCCTAAGATGGAATAGCCTGCGAACAGCACATGCATTTCCGGTCGTCGCTTCTCTCCCTCCGACCTGAAATGCGTCTGCTGTTCGCAGGCTAAAGATGGAACAGTCAGCTATTTCAAGACTATATAAATACGGGTCTTCGTGAACTAATCAGGGTGGGAGCTGTACTCGGGGCGTGAGCCTCTCTCTAACCGCTCGGCCACGCTATTTCCTCCTCATTTCAGGTCCATTGAAAAGAAGAGGCGGTACTCCAAGGCCCAGACAGCCCGTGGCTACTGGTTATGGTTAGTTATGTCTTATAATAATTTTCTCTTCTTGCTATGTTTTTAGCCAATAGTTCGCCTATTTCTTCCTCGTAAAACGAATGAAATTTTCCGCCATTTTGTATTCACTACCAAAGCAACTCAACCTCGTCCCCAGGTCTTCTCGGTTAACCGTTCAATAATCCCTGCACGCATGACTTCATCAGTTCACGTATCTCAAAATTCTTCCAAATTTGGTCGACAGTAGCTGGTTATGATGAATTATGCGTTTGATTTTAGCCAATCAGAAACGGAGAAATGTTTTGAATGAATAATAATAATGGTTACAGAACAGTATGAAAGTTCATAATATTATTACACAACAGGTTTGGTTGAAAATGACGATGAGGAGTATGTACAGCCAAGACGACGCGGCGCCTCTCCAGCTTCCAGCCAAAACGACCACAACAGTAAGTTATCACATAATAGGCACACACATGGAATCGAAGAATGTAGTTGTAACTGTCATTCATTTACCCTCGAAATACCGCTTAAGACGTCCTAAGAACTCGTGTTTTGCATTGGTTGTTTGCTCCTAATCGTGTTAATATTTGGACCGATGTATTGGTTTTTGAGAAGAAGGAAAACGAACCAACAACAACAGGGGCGTAGCGTGGCCATTTTGGCAAGTACGCACACGCGCGGATCCATATTCTTAACAAAATAACGTTTTTGTTATCCTTTAATAGTTACATTTTTTGGTAGATTACAGTCTTGTTTACGATAGAACATGATATTAAAAAAAGCTTTTAAAATGTTTTTCTTTGAGCTGGTACTGGAATCAGAAAGTTTTCAAGCACACGGCGCCTCCCCTAAATAAACTTCCAAAGTGCTGAATATACCTCACAAGAAATTCAAATAACATGTTTCGTTCAATTGCCAAATGTTTGGAATGAAAGATAAGCTGTACTGTCGCTCAAGAAATGACCACTTAAAGTGCAGAAATTTGGAGTTCAAAAGCATCGGTTGGAAGAATTTCAGCGTGTACGTGATTGTGTAAATTTTCCGAAAGCTTAGTCCTTTGCTGACTTTTGTGTTTTTCCTTTATTTCGATCTTGAAATCGATCATGGAACAGACAATTATAGTAAGGGTTTTAGTATTTATGTATTTATTTATTTTCAGTTGTTCTGAATATCTCTAATGTTTTTCATTGAAAACTATTCTACATCTGTTGAGTGTAAATTTCCTGCAAAATTCTTGTTGATGCCGCACCACACGTGCACCTAATGGTTTGCTTCAGCTTTATACCTCGATTATGGTCGGCATGGTTTATTCCATGATTTCCCACTTAAAATGTCCGGTTCAGACGCCGAACCTTTCATGAGCCGAACCTAATTCGAATTAAGGCCGACCCAAATTATTTAGACCGGCTGAATTTATTCACACGCCGATCTTAATTGGAGCTGAACTAAATTCAAAAGAGACAAATGCTCATTTTGGTCAAGCTGCTTACAAAATACGTTATAATAATTTATGCATTAGGTTCTGTACATGAAAAGTTCGGCGTCTGAATCAAAGCCGTTCCAAAGTCGCTCCAAAGGCGAAATTCCCGGCCGGGCTAGGCGTAAAGAACGGCTGAGTCGTTCCAAATTTAAATAGGCGTTCCTAATTGATTCAGACTCCGAACTTTTCACGTACTTAATTCAATTTATTAGGTTCGGCTCATGAAAAGATAGGAACCGGGCCTAAGCGACATTTATAGAGAGAGAAAACTAAAAATGAATAGCTTTAATTTGCATGGGAAAACTCTCCAGATAAGTCTTTAAAGGAATGATAATCAGTCAGGATCGATTCTTTGTGGCGGCAAATGAGTTTCCATGAATTTCACCAGTCCTTCTTCCTTTTTGTTTTATTCAAAAGCAATGTATTGGCGGATCGGCAGAAAATCTTTTTAAAAAACTCCTACCAATTTCTCAAGTACGCACGTGCGTATTTGCGTAAAGGACGCTACGCCCCTGAACAAACTACTACCAGGAGACACGGTCCCAGGCCTCATTGCGGGGAGGCAATAAGTGTTCTTATCACTACGCCATCTTTGCTGGTTGCAATAATAACACAGTCAAGGTCGTAGTTGGAGGTTATGTTAAGAATTCACTAGTTGAGGATTTGTTTGATCTGTGGAAAGTAACAGTAATCAGTTTATAGATTGCTGTTACTGATAGATGATTGATTTGGATTGGAAGAGTAGCGCTATGCGCCAGTTCCATTCATTAGCAGTAGATTTGTTCAAGACCATTTGGTCCAGGTCCAACAGTCTGCTTGTATGATTTTAAAGAACTATAAAACAAAGTCAAAATGGAAGATTTTATTGGAAACGCACGTTCAACTGGGCTGTAGATTCTCCGTTAGAAACAAGAACCGAACACTGCAGACTTGTTGATATTTGTGTGTACTTATCTTATACATACGTACTTTAAATTGTAAAGGTGGATCTAAATAAACTTGTTGTTCAAAATTGCGAAGGGGGCCTGATCGAGGATATAAAATATAAATATATCTGTTATTTTGCCATGTGTGTAGTATAGTTTTTGACGAGCGTTTGCTCCATAGCTGTAACATGGTTAAATACAGCGCCCTTGTTCTTTGTTTGAAATACCTCTGATAGTTTGATATTGATTTGTCACAAGGTTCTTGGAAGCGGGATGACCCAAACTCTGACGTAAATATTCCAGTGGTAACAGCAGGTACTTGTGTTTTTGAGTAAATACATGTAGACTTTCAACTGATACCGCAATACTCTTAATTGTACTGGCTCAGCTTCCCCGGGCCTTAATTATTCCTTATGAGATGAGTGGTCGCATATCCTTGGCTTATCAGGACGTAGCAGAAAGCATAATAGCTCCAGCCTCATTCGTGGTGTATTCAAGCCTCTCGCTGATCAAGATTCTTTTTCCAGGTTTGGAGCTAAACTTTGGAACGCAATTCCTAACGAATTTCGTCAACTCTCCAAAGGAGAAAATTTTTATGACTTTTTGCCCTCGATAATGGCAGCAGTGGACGATTATGTTGAAGAGCTCATTCTCCTACAAAAAATGGCAAATTCTGCAGCCTTGACTCAATGCACTAATAATTCATAGGTTCTGTTAGTAGTAAATTTGTCTGGTAATGTTATTCTTTAAGACTAATAATTAGTTAGATATATTTTGTAACTTTATCTTGTTTTTCTGTAATTCTTATTTATCCACATAGTTTGTTTAGGTTACTTACAAAAACATCTGTTATGACTGTTTTAACCTTTCCCCTTCGCCCGCCTCGTCTATCTTTTGCTATTTGCGGGCGGAGATGGCCAAATGATGAGTACGAAAGTAAAGTATAGTGATGCAGTCTTGCATATTTGGGTTTTTTCCAGATACCTGTCCTTCCAGAACAGTCCGTCTTTTGCAAAGAATCATGTTTAGGTGTCCCACGAACTTTCGTTTCCGCGTGTATCCTCCAGTCGTCTTTTGGTAGTCGCGAGCGGCGCCCCACAGCTAAGAAAATTTGGTTATCTATCCATCCGAGAAATTGTGGTAGCCACGTGAACGTACGTCCGTCCGACCTCCCGTCTAGGGTTTGATAGATTGAGCTCGCAAAAGTAGCATAATATGCCACCAGGAGTGTTCCTATATTTCTCAAATTATGCCACGAATAATCATACTAACGTTTTATAAATTATGCTTCTACTTTTTGCTTTAAATTTGGTAAAACATCTCAGTTACTCTGCAACAAACAATTCATTGTCTGACAATTATACAAACCGAAACAAATAACAACCAGCACGTAGGTACCCTTTTGGGTAATCGCGCTTGTTATGCGCATACGTAGAATCCTGGGTCACTTCCTGTGGGACGGAGGTGTAATGAATGTGACAACAAGCAAACAAAAAATCTATTTTGTTACTTAAATTCACCTGTAACACTGTTCTCGGGCCAAGAAAATTGGTTGCATGATCAATAAATGACAATTTTGAGATGCCAAACCAGCAAAAAGTGCCAATTATGCTGGCAGTACTCTTTTCGGAAAGAAGATGAAAATTATGCTCATAATGACAAATTATGCCAAAAAGTTTTTAACGGGGGCTTCGCCTTTTGCCTTGGCTAAATCTATACGTTGTGTAAATGTGCTGTGTGTGTATATTAACGAGAAGCTGATTCACGGTACAGCACTTGGCACACTAGCCAAAACTGCAGAGTAAAATGTTATGATTTATTTAGTTCAACTGGGAACTTTTCTTAGCGCAGTAGTGAGTTATTTTCAGAATTATCTTCCTCTACGAAGTTCTTTGTAGTTACATGTTCTCTTTTGTGTTTGTTGCCGAAAGTTAAAAGACGTGAACCGAACCAAGTAAAGAGAAGGGAGCCTGCAAGACCTCGTACAGCGGAAGATAGTGAGATGCGCAGGCGTAGTCTTCCTCAAGCGCCAACTTATAGTAGAAGTGGTCCTAACAGTAGACAATCCAACACTCCACCACAGGCACCTGCTTCAAGGAAATCTGTCACCCCCAGAACTGGGCAGCTGGCTGCACCCAGGTACGACTTGACTCCCGCCTTTTTTCCCACTGCTCACTTTTTTCTCCCTCCACTCACAACGGTAATCTTGGGGGAAGAGGTAATTATCCGTTGTACGGGAGTCTTTCCACATGACACCAATTTGATCGCTTTAGAATGGTGATTGTATATATTTTGCGGCCGTTGTCGTTGTGGAGATTTGGTCAGAGGTTCAACAGTATAACGGCACTATATTAGAAGATCTGGGTTATTATCAGATTATCAGATATTGTTACTGCTAACATGTGTATTATTTGATCCCCTAATAGCCATACTTAGACGACAAAACGTTTTGTAATTAGTATTTCTGTATGTGTTTGTTAATTAAAGAAAAGGAAAGTGTGCTCAAACTGCAAAATTTGTTGAACGGCTTCAAAAATATTTCTCTGGATCCATGTATTTTTTCGAATGACCCTGGCCATCATTGTTGGAGGAAAATAGAAAACCTTAAACACTGCTGCGTTTTATCAGGGCTTTAATTTCCTTTGCATTGTCTTGGAGATTTTTTTGATGAGTTTTTGAACCCATGATCACACTCAAGTATCGCGTTTCAAGGTTTCAAGAAATATTCATGTAAATGCTTTGTGGTGTCTTTTCTTTTTCTCTTGAAGGAGAATTCCAACACCTCGAGGACTTAGTCCAGGCAGAACAAACAACGACGATAGCTGGAGTGAAGGGTGTTACTAGTGTGATAACGTACTGACTGGACACCTTGTCCCTACTCAAGCAGCAAGGTACTGCGAGCAAGATATAGCTGTTGTCCAATTATGTATAAGGCAGAAAAGTTGGATTGTTTGTAATTCTATAAGATTCGTCTTATGTAGCCGCCAGCAACACGGAGCTCATACAGTATTGCTGATCTCGTGAAATGCTTTACTGTGCTTGCGTGGACTGGAGTTAAGTCTTGGATTCTCTGTGAATATTTGACGCTTACTCGGTTGAAGTGTGAAACAGATATTTTATTACTGGATCTCAAATGCAGCTATAAATCTAACTTATGACATTTTGGTTTTTTTTGTTTTATTGCTAGCCCTCTACCACGAGAGGAGTATTGTACCTGCCCCAGATTTTAGTTCAGATTAGGGAGTATTTTAAAAAAAATCCTTCTAGTTAGATCCAAAACTCTTTCGACTTTTTTAGCCTGAAGTTCGGGAGTATTTTGTTGGTGAGCGAGTGAGCTATTGTTTTACCGCCATATTTGATTTTAAAGAAAGGTCAAGGCTATCCCACTAATTTACCAAAACATCTCTCTCACGGAGAAGCGAATGTTGCTCGCACGCCTCCAGTGCAGGTTAAAATCCGTTAAATCTGACATCCGGCAGTAATAGCATGCGTTTAGTCACCCGAGGTTTCTGTATCGCGCCCTTCAATTTTTAAAAAGCCGGCATGCCTTTTTACTATTGCTCGCCTTCTAGTTCGGAGGACTGGTGCAGCACCTCATGCGTCTTTTCCAAGTCTTCGTTTAATCGTATTTCGTTGCGAACAAAAGGATCCAGTGTTTGCTTTCCGCAGCGCTGAAGCGTGGTTCTAGCCTGCTTGGAATCCCTGCTTATTTTTTGTGTTACGTAAAGAAGCTGTTTTTTAGCTGATGTACAAGTTTTGTTGGTTTAAACCGGAACCGAACATAAGGACTAGGAGGTATGTGGTACTTCCACACTAAACGATGTGATTAACTATCCGGATGTATAAATCGTCTATTACACTGAAAAGGGACTGTTATTTAACGATTGCCTTTCCCTATGAATAGTCCAAAAGGTATTTTATTGTTAAAAATTTTAAATAATCATAACAATAA